GGGAGCTGCAGCGTTGCAGGGATGCCGGAGAAGCGAAGGTCTTCAGCACTTATCCCAGGCGAGTTCTGTCCCCGGGGCCCAGAGCAAGTGCCCAGGGGCTGGGAGTCCTTGAAGCGCGCCCCAAGAGCCGCAGAGACCCCCGCAGGCTGGAGGAGCACCCCGGGTCCTGGCACGCTCTGGAGAGCAACGGCCCAGGGCAGGGAGATCACGGGAGCAGCTGAGTTCTACCCGCAGGGCTGGAGTCTTTGGAGCAAGTCCGGGGCGAGGCAGGGCCCCAGGAAGGGAAGCTCAAGAGCTCGTTCTGCCCCCGGGGGCCGGAGGACCCTGCAGCAGGTCCCAAGAGCAGGGCACCAGGGTCCGGAGGTCCTTGGCGTAGGTCCCACGAGAACAGGAACCGCTGGCGGCAGACCCATTGGTACAGGTCCTGCAGCTAGACCCCCAGGTGGTAAGAGAGGGGTCTGCAGCAAATCCGTCGGCCTGGAGAGCCAGGGGCTGGAAGTGACCCCCAAGTCCTTGGACAGTCCCATCAGCCTGGGGCCCCCGACAGCAAAGGGGGTCCGGAGGTCCTTGGCGTAGGTCCCACGAGAACAGGAACCGCTGGCGGCAGACCCATTGGTACAGGTCCTGCAGCTAGACCCCCAGGTGGTAAGAGAGGGGTCTGCAGCAAATCCGTCGGCCTGGAGAGCCAGGGGCTGGAAGTGACCCCCAAGTCCTTGGACAGTCCCATCAGCCTGGGGCCCCCGACAGCAAAGGTTCACGAGCAGCAGGCCTGGCGGCCCCATGTGCCGACAGCACCCCGGCAGCGCTGCCTGCCCCACGAGGCCGGGAACTCGGGGGCTCGCGCTCCCCTCCCCCCGCCCGCTCTCTGTCTCTCTCTCCGTGTCTCTCTGGCGCGTGCGCCCGCTGGGCCGGATGCTCTTTAAAAACGTGGATCAGAACAGAGGAGTCCAGAGGAGAAGGTCAACGGGGGGATGGGGTGGGGCGCGGGGGGGTCCCCGGCTGCGGGGGCGGGGGTGCCCCCGGCCGGGGCGGG